CCAAAAGTAATCTACATGTTTAATGCAATTCCCATCAAAATCCAATGACATTCATTAAAGAGATTGAAAAATCTACGTTAAATTTATATGGAAACACAAGAGGCCACGAATAGCCAAGGCAATACTCAGTCAAAAGAACAATGCAGGAGGTATCACAATACCTGACTTCAAACTATATTACAAAGCAATAGCAATAAAAACAGCATGGTACTGGCACAAAAACAGACATGAAGACCAGTGGAACAGAATAGAGGACCAGATATGAAGCCACACTATAACCAACTTATCTTTGACAAAGGCTAAAAATATATGATGGAGAAAGACAGCCTCTTCAACAAAAACTGCTGGGAAAACTGGTTAGCAGTCTGCAAAAAACTGAAACTAGATCCATGTATATCACCCTATACAGTATTAACTCAAAATGGATCAAGGATCTTAATATCAGACCCCAAACTCTAAGTTGATACAGGAAAGAGTAGGAAATACTCTGGAGTTAATAGGTATAGGTAAGACTTTCTCAATGAACCCAGCAGCACAGCAACTAAGAGATAGCATAGATAAATGGGACTCATAAAACTAAAAGCTTCTGCATCAAAAGAAATGGTCTCTAAACTGAAGAGAACACCCACAGAGTGGGAGAAAATATTTGCCAGCTACACATCAGACAAAGGACTGATAACCAGAATATATAGGGAACTTAAAAAACTAAATTCTCCCAAAATAATGAACCAATAAAGAAATGGGCAAGTGAACTAAACAGAACTTTCTCAAAAGAAGAAATTCAAATGGCCAAAAAACACATGAAAAAATGCTCACCATCTCTAGCAATAAAGGAAATGCAAATTAAAACCACACTAAGATTCCACCTCACCCCTGTTAGAATAGCCATCATCAGCAACACCACCAACAACAGGTGTTGGCGAGGATGTGGGGAAAAAGGAACCCTTTACACTGTGGTGGGAATGTAAACTAGTACAACCACTCTGGAAAAAAATTTGGAGGCTTCTTAAAAATCTAAACATGATCTGCCATATGATCCAGCAATCCACTCTTGGGGATATACCCAAAAGGAATGTGACAGGTTACTCCAAAGGCACTGCACACCCATGTTTATTGCAGCACTATTCACAATAGCCAAGTTATGGAAACAGCCAAGATGCCCCACTATTGATGAATGGATTAAGAAAATGTGTATTTATATACAATGGAATACTGCAGCCATGAAGAAGAATGAAATCTTATCATTTGCAGGTAAATGGATGGAATTGGAGAACATCATCTCTGAGTGAGGTTAGCCAGGCCAGAAGACCAAAAATCGTATGTTCTCCCCATATGCAGACTTTAGATCAAGGGCAAACACAACAAGGGGATTGGACTTTGATCACATGAGGAGGCAAGAGCACACAAGCGAGGTATGAGGATAGGCAAGAAACCCAAAAAACAAGATAGCATTTGATATCCTCAATGCAAAGGAACTAATGCAGAAATTTTAAAGCAACAGAGGCCAATAGGAGAAGACCAGGAACTAGAGAAAAGGTTAGTTCGAGAAGAATTAATTTAGAATGTAACACATATGTACAGGAAAGCAATGCAAGTAAACTCCCCGTATAGCTATCCTTATCTCAACTAGCAAAAACCCTTGGTCCTTCCTATTATTGCTTATACACTCTCTTCAACAAAATTAGAGATAAGGGCAGAATAGTTTCTGCCTGGTAGCAAGGGGGTAGGAGGAGAAGGAGGGGGTGGGGAAAAGGAGGTTGGTGGGGAAGGGGGGAATTGACCCAAACATTGTATGCACATATGAATAAAAAGAAATAAAAAAACTCAACTGCTAACATCAAACTTGGTGGTGCAATACTGAAGTTTTCCCCATGGTAGTAGGAACTAAACAAGTATGCCCACTATCAATATCTGCTCTTATTGAACATTCTAATAGAGATTATGGCCAGCACAGTAAGGCAAAAAAGAAAGAAAGAAAGAAGCAATATAGATTGGAAAGGAAGAAATAAAACCATAATTATTTATAAATGACATGACTGTATAATTTGAAAATTCAGAATAATTTTCAGATACAGTCTGAATCAATAAATGAATTTAGCACAGTCACTAGATTCAAAAATTAACCTTCATAAATAAACACATTTCTATATCTCAGCAACAAATATCAAAAGTTTTAAAATTAGAAATATTTACAGTAGTATCAAAACTTTAACTACTGAGAACTATAACTAGCAAAAGATGTCAGACATATACGATGATTATGGGGAGACAGTAATAAAACTTAAATGGGGAGTATGTTATGTACGTGAATTAGAAGATTCAGTATTGTAAAAATTAATATTTCCCCAAAATATTGACATACAAGTTCAAGCAGTCTTTATCAAATTTCAGTAAGGTGCGTGCATGTGTATGTGTATGTAAGTTGACAAGCTAACTTTACAATGGAATATCAAATGATATTAGAATACTTACTGAAACAATATTCAAGCCCCAACTAAAAAGACTTTAGTTTTTTTATAAAAAAGCCATAATACTATGTAGTGGTAGTGGTTGATACAAGGATAGACAAATAGTGCAAAAGAAGACAGTCCCAACCAATTCTTCATGGCTCTCTGTGTAAGAAATGTGCCACAACAATCTGTGAGTTAAGCATGAACTTTTGAAACAATGTTTGGTAATTGAACTATTTTAATGAAAATAGTAAATCTTAATTTCTGTTCCATACCTATCACAAAAATAAAGTTTTTGATGAAATTTTTTTAAAAATTGACTAGAAACCATACACACATAAGATTAGGAGGAAATTACAAAGGAGAATTTATTCATAGCATGGGGCAGAGAGAGGATTTCTACACATGATATAAAATAATCAATAGTTATACACATGATCAATTAACAGAATTAAATTTGTCATTTTCATTAATAATTGAAATATAATATTAAAAAGATAAAGGTAAGCCATGTAGATGTTTATTATACATATGTCAAAGGACTTTCCATCCACAATAAATAATAAGAAAAATGGGCTAATCAGTCAGTAAAGAAAAGAAGCAAAAAACACTTTACAAAAGAAGATATCCAAGTGATCCATAAGCATATAAAGAGATTTTAGGGATCATCAGTCATGAAGGAAATACATTAAAGCACAGTGCTACAGTTCAGGGGTTGTCAAACTTTTTAAAGGACCAAAAAGTAAAATACTACATGATTCCACTCACATGAGGTATTTTAGAGTAGTCAGATTCATGCAACAATTAGAATGAACAAATCTTATAGAATTTTTTTTTAATTGTTTTTATTTTCATATGTGCATACAAAGGCTTGGGTCATTTCTCCCCTGCCCCACCCCCTCCTTAACCAACCCACTCCGCCCCCTCCCTCTTTCCCCTCAACCCCCTCAATACCCAGCAGCTATTTTGCCTTATCTCTAATTTTTGTAGAGAGAGATAAGCATAATATTAAGGAACAAGTGTTTTGCTAGTTGAGATAAGGATAGCTATACAGGGAGTTGACTCACATTAATTTCCTGTGCATGTGTGTTACCTTCTAGGTTAATTCTTTTTGATCTAACCTTTTCTCTAGTTCCTGGTCCCCTTTCCTATTGGCCTCAGTTGCTTTTAAGGTATCTGCTTTAGTTTCTCTGCATTGAGGGCAACAAATGCTAGCTAATTTTTAGGTGTCTTACCTATCCTCACCCCTCCCTTGTGTGCTCTCGCTTTTATTTTGTGCTCAAAGTCCAATCCCCATTGTTGTGTTGCCCTTGATCTAATGTCCACATATGAGGGAGAACATGCGATCTTTTGGTCTTTTGTAGGCATAGAATTTTAATTTTGCAAAATGGAAAATTGGGGGAATTGGTTGCACACTGTGAGTAATGCTTCACACTACCAAAGTAATATTCTTACCCATGATTAAGATGGTAAATTTTATATTATTGGTTTTTTAACTACAGTTTTTGAAGACCGTAGGCCACATTTGGCTTGACTGTCTGTCCATAGTGAGTTAATGTTGCTTGTAGTCAATCCTGCTATTAAAATGCTGCTACGTACAAACAAAAAAAAAATCAAAAAGAATTGATACCAAAGTTGATTAGGTTATTGAAAACCTGGAAACTCTAATAACCACTTATGGAAATTTGCAGTATTATAGACCTGAGCATTGCTCATATCCTATGGCATTTCTATTATATCCTTAGAAAAATGCATACCTCTGTATACCAAAAGGCTTACAGCAGAATAGTATTGCAAATCTCTTATAAAAGTCAATAGCTGAATGAAACCCAAAAGTTCATCAACAGTAAAATGGATAAACTATAACAGTTTGTAGAAAAGGAAATACTACTCAATAATGGAAATGTACTACTACAATGCAACAGATTTAATTTAAATAAATTAAATATATTTTCCGTTTCTCATCTAAATTTCTAATAGAGCAAAAAAACCCACATAAGCAAAAGCTCTCTCAAATTTTAATAATTTTTAAGTGTAAAAGAGCCCGAGACCAACAAGTTTGAGAAACACTTTTAGAAGACAGGATAATTAGCTTTGCATAGTCAAATGGGTCTAATGGTTAGAGGGGGGCACCTGAAGACTTTCTAGGAATATCATAATCTGGGTTTTCTTATTTTAGCAGAGGATTACATTGATGTCACTTTATTACAAGGTTTTAAAAGCTATATATACTTACGATACTTGTATTAAACTTATATACATATGTGCTACATAAATTAAGGTTTACAAATTGTCCTTTGGTATTCATTAGCCTGTCACATGACACTGGAAATTTATTATTTCCATATGAGTCCTGTACTGACTAGATATCATCAACTTTATGTCATCACCTCAGCATGTTGACGTCATCTCTGCTTATGTCATCAATATAGCAAGTTGGCTCATGTTCTGGGATAATCAGATGTGTTTGCTTGGTTCTTCTATAGCATTAAAAAATCTAGAATAGCCTCTTACATTTTCTTCTGACAGTATATTTATCTCCCCCCCCAGGAAGAATCCTGTCCATTTTCAACACTTCAGCCACCCTGGTGATAGGGATTATGGAGGTTTAGAAGTCGTGGGTCAAGATGAGACCGATGGTCGGCCTGAATGTCCCTATGGAGCATCTTGTTACAGGTAAGGAAATTGAAGTGCTTGGCTGTGCTTCTCCCCCTAAACTCTTGTTTACCAGAGGAAACTGAGCAGCTTCTCATCTCAAGCCTATAACTTAGATTTTAAACTTGTATAGATTACTGATTTTCATTTTAATAGGTAGGATAGAATTTAGATAATTCTAAGCTAGAATTTTAGATAATTCTAAATTGATGTTAATTTTGTAAGTACCTAAAATTGTCTTCATTTCTAACTATCTAAAATACAAATAAAACTACTCCCAGCATACACTCTAATGAGACTCCCAGGTATGATATGTAAGTCCATTCGGTATGTTATCTCTGCCTGCCTCTGCTTTCTAACCTCCTACTATTCCACCATTCTTGCCAACATCTAAAACTCAGTCATAACAGAAGAGTAAGAGTACCTCTCCCCTGTGCTTCCACAGGATCTTGTCCTCCTTCAATATCATGCACAGACAGAACTTGTTTCCTAAGACTGTTTCTTTACAAGAATGTCTTCCATTCTGGGCTGAAGTATCATGACAGCAAGGACTCTTTATTTACCAGATGAATGAATTTTAATGGACCAAATTACCAAGAAAAAGAGTGATTTCAGCCTTAGAGAGTTTAATACCACACAGCTATCTTAGATAATTTTGAATATAAATTACTGAACCTGTTTGGCTACCCTCAAGTTATCACTACTTCAGAAATTGTGGTTTTCAATAAGATGACAGAATAAGTTTCTGAGACTGGAAAAAGAAAAGAAAAGAAAAGCAGAAAGAGCATCTTGCATATATTAAGAGTGTATTATGAGCTGGGCACCAGTGGCTGACATCTGTAATCCTAGCTTCTTGGAGGCTGAATCAGGAGGAGCATGGTTCAAGGGCCAGCCTGGGTAAACAGTTCTTGAGGCTCTATCTCCAAAATAACCAGAGCAAAATGGACTGGAGGTGTAGCTGAAGTAGTAGGAGCCTGCTTTGCAAGCACAAAGTCCTGAGTTCAAACCCCAGTCCCACCAGAAAAAAAAAAGTATATTATGATCAACTTTGTCAATAAACTTAAGAATTTAGAAGAAATTAACAAATTTCTAGGAAAATATAATTTTAAAAAGCAGATACAAGAAAAAAATAGAAAATGAAATAATCCTATAACATTAGAGAAACTGAATACATAATTAAAAGCTTTCGAAAGAAATTATAGATCCTTTGGTTTAATGGCAAGTCCTCCAAATAGTTAAAAAAAAAAAAACTCAATTTTTACATAAACTATTCCAAAGAAGATAAAAGAGGATATATTCCCCAACTCATATTTTTAGTTTATATCAAAATCCAGCAAAAATAATACAGAATGAAAAATTATAGGACAAGTTTACTTTTGGATGTAGTTGTACCATGAAAAAAAAAAGATTGAGTAAGCAATTAAATTAAAAAGGGGAAATATATTATGACCAAATGGTGTTTATCTTAGGAATCCATGTTTTGTGTAGTATTTTTAAAAAAATGTAATTTACCACATCGTCAGAATAAGTAGGAAAGTTGGAATAGCTGGCCTCCCCCCAAAAAACCTGACAAAAATTGGCATTTATTTATCTTAAAAACTGGACTACAAAAATAGGGATAGATGGAAGCTTTTGTACTTTAAAGGATATCCACAAGAAGTCTAGAAAAAATATCATACTCTGAAGTAAGATATTAAAAATTTCTAAAATCAGAAATGAGACATCAATGCCTGATATTACTACTTCAGTTCTTCACCGTATTCAAGATTTAAAGCAGTGTAAGTAAGATAAGGAAAAGAAAAATAGATAAGGACGGAAAGAAAGAAATAAAACTTACAGTGTTCATAGATGGCATTATTGTACACATAGGACATACAGAATAGTCTACTGATGAATTATAAATATTACTAAGTGCTTAGCAAGGTTTTGAATACAAAAATCAATATATAAAATCAAACCATATTTCCATATTCTAATACCAATTAGAAAATAAAAAATTAAAGATATTATTTATTTAGTAATTATCAAAATGTATCTGGTTTGTAGGAAATAAAATAAATAAAAATATAATTTTAAATATAAAAAAGAAGAGATGAAACCTCTGTGAGAAACTATAAAGCTTTTATTGGCAAAAAAAAATTTAGGAAGACCTAAGTAATTATAAAGACAGAAATGTGCATGATTCAATATGTTAAATTACCTATTTTCATCAAATTAACTTATAGGCAAATCCATCACTGAATCCTTTGTGTAGAAATTTATATCATTCTGAAATTTATTACAGATATGTACACTATCAAACATTGCCACTGCAATGTTAAATAATGAAGAACAAGTGGCAGATTTGTGTACCTGACAGTAATGAAAACAGTGTGGTGTAGTACAAAAGAAAAGTAGCAAGACCAGTACAGAGTAGAACCTAGAAACAGAACAATTAAAGCTTTAAAGATAAATAAAAGGGGAATTGTTTCATTGATCCCAGAGTAGAATTATTTTCCTAAACAAGGTGTCAAAGCAGCAGTTAAAAATGGAAAGCATTTAATTATTTGAATACATTAAAGTTTAATATTTTTTAAAATTTCATCAGGACACTATATTTAAAAGAGTGAAAACAAGCTGGGCTTAATGATGTGTTCCTATAGTCCCAGCACAATCGAGAGATGAAGATCCTGTCTCAAAATAATTTCTCCATGGCCTTACCTGACTTCATCTATGTTAGTCATGGCTTTCTAAAGTATTAATGAGAAACTTGTCTTTATTAAGCAAATGACCAAATAATATTTATAGTTAAAAAGAAAAGGGCAAGAAACCTTCGAGAATGTGATTTGAAGAAATCATGAATTTTCCAGGTCAACAAGATAATGGAGCATTAGATACTGCATACTCTCTCGTCACATTATCATTATCAGTTAGGCAAAAAACATACCTGGTAGATTTATTTTCATGTCATTGCTAAGCTGACCCAATGTTATATTATGATAAGTTTTAGTCCTTAACATTCTTGAGAATATTTTATTAGCCACATACTGTTTAGTTGCTAGAAAATAAAACCTACTCTAGCAGAATGATAACATGTTTAATTTAGTTTGCTTAAAAGCAAGTTTTTCATGTATATGCTGTCAGCTTTTTCCTATAGTCACATAAAAAAAGACATTAAAGTTTCAAAATCATAAAGTAAGCTACCAAAATCAGCAACAAATTATTATATTTAGAAAACTAGCCTGTTTTCCCTGAGGGGGTGATATGTTTGGAAGGGCATGAAATTCACAAGCTATAATATGTTTATTTGGTCATTATTTATTCTTTCAAAACTTGCCTCAACAAAACAGAGTAAGAATTATTCTCAAGTAAAAACAACTACTCTCAAATGAAACTGTAGGTTTATTTTTTTTTTGCTTCCCAGTCTTAATGTTTTAATCTCTTGAATATGTACAAATAGGTTTTCTCTTTTTATATATCTAGGTAATCTTAGACATTATGTACCATGTTAAATAATCTTAGTCTTATATGTCAGCTAACTAAAATTTAATGGTATTTTATTGTACTTCTAAGTACTATTGTGTTAGGGTCAAAGTTTTATACTGTAAAGCAAACATGTAGGACACAAAAAGTTGTACATACGTGGGTATATTTCATCTGAAGCCATTCTATCCATAAAAAAATAGGTGTAAAACAGATACTGATCACATAAACAAATGCACATTGTAGTAAAAATAAAGATTTCCACATCTCTAATATAGAAGGTTGGTGTTTATTTTTTTTTCTAGACTTACTGGCATTGTTAACATTTTCTCTGACTTGTTATACTTTTTTAATCTGACAAAATTACATTCCACTTGAAAAAAATGATAATTTTGAAAGAGCTAGTAGATGTTGTCACTTTAAGTCCCTTGCCCATTCAACTAATTTCTTTCTTTTGTTCTATACACTGATATTTGTCAGAAGACTCTTACTCAGTTTAATGGATTTGATTAGTTCAGGCACTTGTCTGAATTAGGACATTAGATACATAATGTCTAGCATCACCCAGTGATTGCTGTCCCTACCTCTGATTCACTCACTTCTTTGGTGAGTAATAGGATTTTGTCAGGCATTACTCCTGTTCTTACATAAGTCCTCTTAAGGACTCAACTTAGGATATATATATACATGTGAAAATGAATGGAATCCATGTTAACCAACTTCCTGTAAGAATGTAAAGTGAAACTAATTGTACATCACCTTACAAAAAAATGGTTTTTTTTTTAAAATAAAATCTTTGGCATTTATTATATCATGCAAGTGAAAATGTTGGTACCTTAATGTTTTTTTTCAGGAGTGTCCTTTTTTTAAAAAAAATTTTATATCTGGTAAGAGGCATGCTAGAAGGAGGTGTATCAGTTATCAAGCATAAGTATTTCAGTATAAAATTGAGTCTGCATCACTGCCTGTATAATGTGAAAGAACTTAGTATTTCTCAAAGCATAGTTCATTTTTTTTCAATACAGATTTGATAGTTATGTAAAATTGTTGATCAGGGTTCATAGCTATAAGAATTCTTATTATTTCCTCTTTTATGTTTGAAAAAGTGTTTGTTTGCAGTATTGTCTTAATTGATCAAATATGTATTCACTTCAAACTACAAGATAATGATTTTTAGAATCCACTAATAAAAGAACATGAGCTTTTAGTGTAAATATAGATTATATTATTGAGGCCAAAAGAAGTAGATCTTCATAAGGATACTAATTGTTAGTTGAGGTTTCCAGAATCAGTATGTGAGGCTATCTTGGCTTAGAAACTTTACTCCAGAAGTCATATGTTAATGGTGCTTGGAAGTGGGGCATTTGGGAGGTAATTAAGATTAAATAAAGTCCTCATGGGGTAGAGCCCCCATGACAGCATTAGTGAGCTTATAAAAAAGAGGAAGAGGCTTCCCCTCCTCCAATCCTGGGCTTCCTAGCCTCCAGAGTTATGAGCTAGATAATCCTCTATTCTTTATAAATGACCCAGTCTGTGCTATTCAGTGAGAGCAACAGAAT